CCGCTCTTTGGTGCCCCTGAGCAGCTGGTGCCACTCCAGACCTACAAAGGGAGGCTCATTCTAAACAGCTCCTTCTCATGTGGCAGCCACTGGCTTTGCATCTGCCCTGTCCTGGCAGGGTCTGCCTGCCCTGTGCCAGCTGCTCCCAGCTGCCCTGGCTCCAGGCTGCTCTGGAGCTGGGGCCTGGGTCCCCAGAGGCCACCTAGTAAGCTCAGGGCTCTACAGAAGGGGAAAGGAGCAGGGCTGGGCACACAGGGAATCTGCACATTCCCTCATCTTCTGGACAGCCGACAAGCTCTGTGGGCCAGGCAGATGCAAATCAGTCCCTCGCTGCCCCGGTGCCAGGAGCCGAGACTCTGCCGGCCGGCCGGCAGTGGTGGCTGCCGCGGTGCTGGCTGGGGCTGTGTCTGCTCCAGTGAGCTGGGCCTGCCCAAGAGCAGTGGAAAAACTCACTCCATCCCTGAGACTCCAGGCCTGATGCTGCCGGGCCAGGGGGCCTGCCAGCAGCCATGCTCCTGACTGGCAAAGCTCAGGTCTGCACTGGTTTCACAGTCCTTCCCAGACACCTCTCAGAGTGACCACAGGTGCCCAGGGTGAGGCCTCCCGTCAGAGAACACAGGGCCTCTGGATCTAGCAGGAACAAAAGATCTAATGGCTTTTCTAGAGGATGGGTTTTACCACCCTGTGGCAGAGATGGGAAGGAAGGACAAACGGAAGGAGCCTGCATCTATTGAGTGGTTACAGCATGCAGGCAGGATTGACTGCTCCTGACTGCTACCCACGCAGCCTTGAGATCTAACTTGGGACTCTTGTCACACATCTCTTTTCTCTCTGCTCCTCTGAGGTCCTGGAGGGCAGGGGCTATGGCTTATGTTTTCTGTGTCCCTGGTAACTAGCCATGGCCTGGTCCAGGTAGGTATTCTGAGGATGAGGGCCGAGTGCATACTGAGTGGTTGAGCCACACACCTTTCTGAGGAACACCAGAGAACCAGACACCTGGAAGCAGGACAAAGGCAAGAGGAGGCAGGAGGGCCTGCGGGATGGAGAGCTGGGTCTTCCCTGACACTTCCGCATCATTGGACCTGGCTTGTGACCTGCAGCCCAGCCCACCCCCCTTTCCCAGTCAGAAGTAGGCGAAAGAGAGGAACTAGGGATGGGCTGCTGGGACCCAGGTCATCCCAACAGTGAGACTCCATCATTACACACACACACACACACACACACACACACACACACACACACACACACACGGAGGAGGAGATGGTCTAGCAGAGAGAAATCCAGACCCCAGCAACAGACACGGAAAGCTGAGTAGGGAGGGTGACTAGAATCCAGCTGAACCCTTCCATTCAGGCTGCCTGAGGTCCCCTTTGCAGAGTAACTCCACAAGGAGAGAGGCCATTCAGAATCTGAAAGACCAGCTTTCAGCCCTCCAGCCCTGGGCTGGCCAATGGCTGGAGCAGGTCATGACCTGTGCTCCCAGGATCTTGGGTCCCTCATTTTCCAAGGGAGAGCGTAGGATGTTTGACGTCTCCAACATTTTGCTCTCCCCTGGTGGCTCCACAGATGCCCAGGAGGCATCTGATCTTTCTAAACTCTTGTTTGCTGGGAAGGGTAATGCCATCCTTGGCCCCTTCCCTTTCAGTGGAAGGCACGGGCTCCTGTGAACAGGCTGAGACTCTGATTAAGGCAGAGGGAGAAGGCTGGCTTACGAAGAGGGCATAGGCGTGGTTACAGTGTTACCCTCTATCCTCCAATCACACTGTTCAGATAGAAGGTGGCTGCCCTAAAGCCTCTACTCAAATGCTCACCTCTAGGTTCTGCTCATGTACAGCTGGTTCCTGCCATGTGGGGTACACTGTGATCTCCAAGTTAGCCCCAGAGCCCGAAGACATTAAGCCCACAAGCCTCGACTTCTACACAGCATGTAGAATAGACAAGCCCAGCCAGTGTAAGGGATCTCTTCCTAGACTCACAAGCTCCAAGAGATCAGGCGAGAGGGACTGATCAGTGAAATGCCTACATGCAGTGCACAGACTTTTCTTCCAGCCCATGAACTTGTACTTTGCACACGATTCTGATTCCTTTTATGCTCCGATCTTCCATCTGACAGCAGTTCAGATGTTGCAAGGTGGGGGAGCGCTACCCGCACAAGCGCGTGTCAGGGACTGGATCGAGGTAGAACACTAGGAAGGGCAGGCGTGAAAACCTGAGCGTCAGTGTGGTCTGGAGCTCCTGTCACCAGGAAGCAGCCTCTGGGCTCTCCCTGGAGGGCTTGCTTTGTAGGGGCACAAGCAGAGGCGTGGCCATGACCAGGTGTCTACAGGCTGGGAAGCTGCCTGGTCCTTCCTTCTACTGCATTTCTTCTTAGCCCCTCCCCCTTCCATAAAAGAGTTAGGTAGCTTGCTAAAACACATCCAACAGAGCTGAACATCCTAACAAAGATGTCCTAACATGCCACCAGCCTAGAAGGTCACAGCATGACCGTGTCACTGTTGGCACAGGCGTCAATTAGGGCAGGTACCCCTCCACAGATCCCTAGACTTTAGATATAGTGGCTTCCCACAAGGAAGGGGCTGGGGAACATCAGAAAGACAGAGTGGTAAGTGGGAAACTGAGGCTCAGCTCCAGGAAGGAAGTGCCACTGACAGTCTAGCGACTTACTGCTTGCTTTTGCCCTCTCTACTTGCCAAGTCTTTCTGAGGGCTCAGAGCCTGAGACCTCTACCAAGCACTGGCCCAGAGGACTCTAGCAGGGGACACAGAGGGACACCATGATTCTTTACCTGGAGCAGGGTGACCAGGGGATCATCTCTCGTCACTCTCTCCCCTACAGTGATCCCATCTCCCACATTCTTTATTGGATTCTTCTTTTTAATTGGGGAGTAACTGGACCACCTCCAGATGATAGAGCCCCAAGCACACCTTGCCAAGAGCAGAAGATGTGGGTCACTGGAACCAGCTCCTGCCAGAGGCCTGAGGAGAGAGACGACGGGTCCAAGGTCATATCCTGTTAGTGGTCAACCTAGCACTAGGGGCCACACCTTTTAAGTCTCAGGGCCACGTGCAGCCGGCCTCCCTGTGCCTCCCTGTGCCTTACAGGGGTGGGGCCGTGCTGTGCAGGGCTGGTGTGGAGAGAAAAGACAGGGTTAAAGTGGGGATTTTATTTAATCCTCTGATCTGGCTTAAGCCAAAGCCACATTGGTTTGAGCAGGAGACAAGAGACACACAGAAGGGCTTGTTGGGGGGCTGGGCAGGGCGGTATTAGAGAATAATCGTTGTGTACCTAAAGGCAAGATCTGACAGTGGGCTAAGTGGCCCCCACGATCATTACCTCCCTGTCCCATTCCAGTCCAGGGTTCAGGCCTCCAGGCAGTGACCCTCTGCCATGGAAGTCCAGTAGTCCCGGGGGGTTCAATAGTACTGAGCAACGGGAAGGTCTCCGCCTGGAGACTGAGGCAGACTTGAGGGTAAATCCTAAGCCTGCCACATATTTGCTGTGTGACCTTAGGCACGTCACCTCACCTCTCTGAGCCTCTGCTTCTTCCTCAATTAAATAGTCTTACACAACAATGGAGAAAAGTTGTCCGAACCTGTTTACACAGACAGAGGGATTGCTGAGTCAACCCTCGGTGCTATGATCCCCAGTCCCAGCACTTACTCCCCCAGGCCCATGTATTCTACTCTTCAGACCCCATCTGCCTGCAGCTTTGGCATTCACAACCTCAATAACCATCCCTCAGCCTAACGACATTTGTATTAACTTAAAAACGCCAAGCATCCCACCACTTGATACAGCAAGCTTGACGGACCACCCCAAGCACAGGCGTATACACCCCCAGCCCTCAAGTTCACATTCTCGTAATGCCCCCAAGTCCCAGAACAGATGACGAGGTCTGAAGTGGAGTTCAAGCCGGAGTGAGCATGTCACTGGGGCATGGGGCTTATTAGAAGGATCTAGAATGGATAAGCTTTCTCGGCTGACTCTGACCCCAGCAGGCTGCCTATCCTGCTTGGCTTCCACCTCCCCAGCTGTGAGAGCCAGTGAGCCGCTGGGAATGGTAGAGTCTGGCCCGAGGTGTATGGATGACTAAATCCACGGGCAATGCCAAGGCCCAAGCCCACTGCCAGGATGTGAGGTCTGGCCTCTGACAGACCCTGGGAAGAGTACAGTTCATTGTCTTCACTAGTTTTTCCATCACCACCAAGGCCCATCTTATCACCCTCCCATTGCACAAGAGGAAACCGAAGCCCAAAGTAGGCCTAACCCTCCTGTAGCGATGAGGTCAAGTCTGTCTTAGCTCTGGGCCCATCCCACTGCCCCAATGGGCTCTCCTCTTAACTCTGTGCTTCCTACGGCGGCGGCAGGGAAGACATCCCACAAAGTTCTTTAACCAACCCGGGCTCCTGTGACAAGCCCAAGAACTTCCTCCAGCATGGGGTCTGCCAGGATACCCACCTTCTCTTCCCTGCTCCTCTCCTACCCACCCCGCCCTGAGGCTGTAGAACCTTCCCTGTCTCTGGCAGCTACTCAAGGATCAGGCAGCGCCTCCACAGGGTAGCTTTGGAGTGGGACACCGGCTCCTGGGGTACACAGCAGAAGAGGGCAGGTGGGGTGCAGCTTCCCTTGTGAGCCTGACCAGGATGGCCAGCCTACCCCTGTATCATCAGCATGCGGGGCCCTCAGTCCTCACGGCGCGTGACACTGAGGGACACACAACCAGTGCGCCCGCCAGCCCGAAGCAGCTCTCCAGGGGTTAAAACTGCAGCATCTTCCACAAGGGTTAAAAATGCAGTCCCAGGGCGCGCAGGGATGTGGTCCACACCGCCCAGGGCAGAACCGAAGGAGCATCCCTTCCCGGCATCTTGCAGTCTCCCGGGGGCCGAGCGACTCCTGGGAGCCGGAGGGTGCGCGCGATCCCTTCCTGCGCCTCTCAGCCGGGGCCCGGGAGGCTGCAACGCCCGCGGGTCCCCAGAGCGGCGACGGTCTGCGCTGCTTACCTTTGTGACAGTCATGCAGAAAGCGGGCGGCGGGGCCGGGCGCGGGCGGCGGCGGGCTGCTGGGCCGGGCTGGGGACCGCACGCTCGGGAGGCCGCTGGCTGATGTCAGCCGCGGCCGAGCATCTATAATAGATGAGGCCGCCGCGCCGCAGGAAGGCGAGGCAGGAAGAAAGGCGGGCGGCGGGCCGCGCGGGGGGCGGGGAGGACCGACCGGGGACTCGCTACAAAGAGAAGGCGGAGGCAGAGGCGGGAGCGCAGTCCGGACGCCTGGCGGTCCCCAGCCCGGTGCGTCCAGGCGCGGGCCCCTTGGGCTGCTGGCACCTGCGGCCGGGGGCGTGGGCGGCAACCCGGCCCTCTGTGCCGCGTTGGCTCCGGGCGCCGGGTGAAGTCACACGCTGGACGGGCGCGGCGCACGGCCGAGATGCCTTCCCAGGTCCGGTCGCCCCCTGGAGGTTCCGAAAGTCCACCCGCTATGAGTCCCACAGCTGCCACACCAGTTCAGGGTTGCCAGGAGGGCTCGTTCACGGTTGCCAGGTAGCACTCCTTCGGATCTAAGTCCTCAGAGATGAGCTCGCCCCGAGGCCAACGTGGTCCACGTTACATCGGAAGAGACAGGACCTGAGTGGGAAGTGACTTGGACAGGGGCATAGGACCGAGTTGGCCCACCAGATTTGCCTGCGGTTCTCCACTTGGTGGCAAGCTTCTTAGTAGCCCCTTTGCAGACCCTGCATTGTATAGTTATAAGGACAGGCAGGGAGCCCTCTATAGGAGGGACAGGGCCGACCCTTCTCAAGAATGTCCACAGCACTGTTTTGGGGGAGACGACAGGTGCCGGCGTGCTGCGGGAATCCGGGCCGGGTCACCTGCAGCCGCTGCAGGAATTTGAACTACAATTGTCTGAATATAGCCACGCAACTACCTGGGCAGAACCGGTTTGGACAGACAAGGAGGTGCTGCGGCCATGGAGGGGGGAGGAGGGAGGAGGGAGCGAGTTATTGGGGCACCTCACTCTCTCCTGGGGTTCTGAAGTGTGCCACTTGCTCCCAGAGTTTCTTCACAGCAGTTCACCGGAACAACCAGACCCAGGCCACACATGAGCACCACCTGCTCTGGAGGAAAGTGCGGGAACAGGAAGATGGGAGGCTTGCCCATTCCCCAGCTGAACTTGTAGCCGAGAACCACAGTCACATAGTGACCAATCTCTGTGAAGTGCTTTGCGGTAGACCCGGATGTTGTTCATGTTGTTTGTATTTACATGCTTTCTTTCTTTCTTTCTTTCTTTCTTTCTTTCTTTCTTTCTTTCTTTCTTTCTTTCTTTCTTTCTTTCTTTCTTTCTTTCTTTTTTTTTCAGCCCTAAATGCAAGGGATGGCATAGTGGCAGAGCCAGGACTTGAACCCGTGAGCTACAAGGTTCCTCCACAGCTGTTGCCATCTTTGAACCTCTTATGTGTCTTAGGAGGAATATAAATGCCCGACAGTCTCCAGGGGCCTTGGAGCAACTTACTAGGTCTCTAGGGAGAGTAGATGCAGCCTCTAGCCTCAGGCATTGGCTCTGTGCCAGACCCCTCCCAGGTGTGGTCATGTGAGACCTCAAGTCTTTACTGCCTCACCCCTGCTCCAGGAATGCCCACCTCATTCTCTGCGGCTGTCCAATGGCATCCCATCTCTGGCACCCCGATCTTACCTGGTATTCCAACCACAGATCTGTGCACTAATACCCTTAGTTCAGAGTATCTGCGTTTCGTCCATGTGTGTGGCTGTGCAGAAGGGAGCTAGCTGACCTCTGGGTATACCTTCTCCTCCTGTGTGTGCTGGGGCACACAATACAGACCCTGTCTCAACAATAACAAAAGTAAAGGCACCCAAGTGTGATGGTGGCATATACCTGTAATCCTAGCACTCGGGAGGCAGAGGCAGATGGATCTCTGTGAGTTCAAGGCCAGCCTGGTCTACAGAGCCAGTTCCAGGACAACCAGGGTTACACAGAGAAACCCTGTCTTGAAACAAAACAAAACAAAACAAACAAGAACAACAACAAAAAGATCCAATGTTGACTTCTGACCATCACAAGCATGTATGCATGCGCTCGTGTGCACGCGCGCACACACACACACACACACACACACACACACACACACACACACACACAGATAGGGTGTATCTCAGTGATGGAATGCTTGCCGAGTATGTGTAAAGCTCCAGGGAATATTTAATGTCACCAGGTACAAATCAAGGATATTGTATAGGAGTTGGGGGAGATTGCCTTAGTCAGCAAAGTGCTTGCCGTGCGAGCATGAGGACCTGAGTTCAAATCCCCAGCTAGGTATGTTAGCACACACCTGTAATCCCAGTGTGGGGCAGGTGTGAGGCAAGTCTAGCTAACCAATGAGCCCAGGCTCAGTGAGAGACCCTGTCTCAGTAACAACACTAATAAAGGCAGAGAATGATTGAGAAAGACACCCAGTGTTGACTTTGGGCTCTCATAAACGTGTGCAGCTATACAATCACAACAAAGATAAGGTGCATCTCAATGATAGAATGCTTATCTGGTATGCACAGGGCTCCAGGTTTCATTCTCTGCAACACACACACACACACACACACACACACACACACACTTCGAGCAAAATAAATGTTCTACCAGTGGAAGAAATGTAAACTAGACCCATAAAAACATTTCCCAGCAGCCAGCTGGCCACTGTCAGAAGGATTCAGATACCATGTTGGGACAGGTGGTCTTGAGCAGGCAAGCCTTAAGCCAGGCTACTCCAGCCCTATGACCCTACTAGAAACCATTGGAGGGCCAGCCAAGAACACCAGCAACCAACACCCATCACCCATCTCACTTCCGATCCCAGACTGTCATCCTCAGCTACCCAGCATGCCTCTTGGCACCTCCCCCACTGTCTGCTGTTGTTATGGGCTCTGGGAACAAGACAAATGCTTAATGTCATCTTGAGCCAAAAGTAATTAGGAGCATCAATCTGCAGTCCCCAGGACCCATGTGACAGGCTCCAAAGGCAGAGAGGAGACACTCTGGATTCCTCGCACGCTGCTGGCTCACCCCTTCTATCACATCTTCATCTCCTCAGAAACAGACGGGGTCTGGGTGGGCAGCATGCTTCACCAAGAAGCCCAGTCCTCTGGTGCCAGGCGCAGGATCAGCCTGAAGGAGGGACTCAGAGCTGTGAGCATTCCCACGGTACTCTGTCAGCACTACCAGACCTGTTCCCCAGCCACAGTGCCTATCTTGGTTTGGTCCACTTGGAGCCACGCTTGAGAACACAGATGGACTCGAGGTTCACCCGGAAGGAGAACCCAGGAGTGGAGGAGGAGATACAGGGGCCCCGAGGTTGGCAAAATGTGTTTTCAAGGGCCCATTGGAGGAGGGTGCATACGGGGAGTCACCAGGCTGCTGTCAGTCAGGGAGGGCAGAGCACTTAACCACACTCTTCCTCAGCACTGTGCTTTTAGGCTGGGCATGTCCTAGACAGAAGTGGGGGAGTCCCTAGCTCTTACTTATAGTGGTATCCACGTGGCTCCAGTCTGAGTTCCTTGGATCATGTATTGAGCTACGTGTCAAATCAAGCCCAGGCTAGCCCAGGCTGTACATCACAAATCATGGGGTAAAGAAGAGTTCCCATCATCAGCTCCAGTGTCTTTCAGAGGCATTCATGCCCCAAAGCTTTCTGACGCTTTTTGCTCACCCTCCAACACCTTTATCCCTTGTTTTTAGCAGGACAAAACTCACATTCATCCTCCAAAGCCCAGCTCAAATAGCATCTCTGTGTGGCTCTCCTGGTACTACCTGAGTCCCAGGGTACAAATCCCCTAGTGGAATCTGTTTACTTGTCTCTTTAAGAGCTGTGACTACCCCCTCCTTCTCCTCCTTCTGTTCTCTCTCCAACAGGCACCTAGGAGGTTCTGGGGGAGCTTCCAGCCACCCAAGAAGGCTTCCTTCCGTGGGCTTCTTTAGCACCTGCTTCAGTAGCCATCTGACTCAGGTCCCGGCTCCACACAGCAAGGCATCAATCAGGTCCTCTAGACCTGAGGCTTCCCTGGCCTTCGATGCTCACTTGCCCAGCCTTGGCCCAGCCCTGTATTGGACGCCTCCATACAGAGTGAGGGAGGCTTGTTCCTGGCCTGCAGGAGGCTCCAGTTTCCCAGGAAAGACGCACTTTACTGGGCACCCCCTGGGTACTGAAGACAGGAGCTGTCCTACAGCACCCCCCCCCCCCCCCAGTGAAGAAGCTGGAGAGAGGGAGGAGTCCCCTGGCCCCCATCTCCATCATGCCACGTTCTAGCCTCCCTCGGCTACTCAGCCTTCCAGCTCTGACAGTCTTGCTGGCCCCATGGCAGCAGCCCAACCCCCCACCCCACCCCACCCCTCCTCTCACCCTCCCTCAGCATTTTCTTCTGCTTCGCTTGGCCTTGGCTGCCTGCCTCCTGCGCTCACCATCTGTCCTCTAGCTGGAAGTTCCTGCACTTCTGCTCAGACACATGGATCGGCGTTTATAAAACCTTGCAGAGGCTCCCCATTGTCCTCAGTTTAAGGCCCAAACAGAGTCCTCAGGGCCCATCTCTGCCCCTTGTCCCTCTAGGTCTGCCTTACCTAACTCTTGCCATTCCTTGGCCTGAAGCTCCTAGCTGCTTCTTCAGCCTTTCCTCCAGCTCTGCCTCTTCCAGGAAGCCCTCCTGGATGCATCCAAGGTTTCAAATCCCCAGCTGCAATGGCACTCTGAGCCCACTCTGTGTGCTTAACCAAGATTTCACTCTGCCTGCCCTCACTTCTGTGTGTGTGTGTGTGTGTGTGTGTGTGTGTGTGTGTGTGTGTGTGTGTGACTACAGGGACTGGCTCTTGTGCCTGGCAGGGCCTGGACATGGCTGTCAGCTGCCGCTCCCCACCCCTTCCCTGTTCACGGTTCTTAGGGCTGCATTTTTCCGTCTCCGTCTCTTTGTCTTGCAGCCTCTCCCTTCACCGCTCCCACCCACCCCTGCAGCTCAGCACACACACACACACACACACGCACGCACGCACGCACGCACGCACGCACGCACACGCACGCACGCACGCGCACACACACGCACGCGCACACACACACACGCACACACACGCACGCACGCACGCGCACACACACGCACGCACACACGTACACACGCACGCACGCACGCGCGCACACATGTACGCACGCACGCGCGCACACACACACACACACACACACACGCACACACACACACCCCCGTGGATTTAATCACCCAGCACCAGCACCGGGGCCTCTCCCGCCCCGCTGAGAGCCCCACCCGTGGGGCTTCCCATGCCGTCCCCAGCCCCGTGCTCTGCCATCTCAGCACCTTGTCCCTCCTACCCCTGCCTCAGCCTCTGTCATCCTGTGATGGCAGCTCCAAGTTCCTCATCTTTTGTGTTTTTTTAATTTGGTTTTATTATGTTTTAATTATGTGCATGGAGTGGGGAGGGAGGTGTGTACACACGAGTGCAGGTGCCTGCAGAGGCCAGAGGTGACCGGTCCTCCTGGAGCGGAAGTTACAGGTGACTGTGAGGCACCAGTGTGGGTGCTGGGGATGGAACTGGGGCCCTTGAAGGAGCAGTGAGGTGCTTACCCGTTGGGCCATCTCTCTAGGTGCCACGCCACTGTGTGCCTCATCTTTGTCTCACTCTCCCGCTCCTCTCAGCTTCTCTCC